TACTACTACTACTACTACTACTACTACTACTACTACTACTACTACTACTACTACTACTACTACTACTACTACTACTACTACTACTACTACTACTACTACTACTACTACTACTACTACTACTACTACTACTACTACTACTACTACTACTACTACTACTACTACTACTACTACTACTACTACTACTACTACTACTACTACTACTACTACTACTACTACTACTACTACTACTACTACTACTACTACTACTACTACTACTACTACTACTACTACTACTACTACTACTACTACTACTACTACTACTACTACTACTACTACTACTACTACTACTACTACTACTACTACTACTACTACTACTACTACTACTACTACTACTACTACTACTACTACTACTACTACTACTACTACTACTACTACTACTACTACTACTACTACTACTACTACTACTACTACTACTACTACTACTACTACTACTACTACTACTACTACTACTACTACTACTACTACTACTACTACTACTACTACTACTACTACTACTACTACTACTACTACTACTACTACTACTACTACTACTACTACTACTACTACTACTACTACTACTACTACTACTACTACTACTACTACTACTACTACTACTACTACTACTACTACTACTACTACTACTACTACTACTACTACTACTACTACTACTACTACTACTACTACTACTACTACTACTACTACTACTACTACTACTACTACTACTACTACTACTACTACTACTACTACTACTACTACTACTACTACTACTACTACTACTACTACTACTACTACTACTACTACTACTACTACTACTACTACTACTACTACTACTACTACTACTACTACTACTACTACTACTACTACTACTACTACTACTACTACTACTACTACTACTACTACTACTACTACTACTACTACTACTACTACTACTACTACTACTACTACTACTACTACTACTACTACTACTACTACTACTACTACTACTACTACTACTACTACTACTACTACTACTACTACTACTACTACTACTACTACTACTACTACTACTACTACTACTACTACTACTACTACTACTACTACTACTACTACTACTACTACTACTACTACTACTACTACTACTACTACTACTACTACTACTACTACTACTACTACTACTACTACTACTACTACTACTACTACTACTACTACTACTACTACTACTACTACTACTACTACTACTACTACTACTACTACTACTACTACTACTACTACTACTACTACTACTACTACTACTACTACTACTACTACTATACTTGAAAAATTGCGTGTAGTAATTGTATTGATAATTTAATAGTTTACTTTTAAAATTTATCACATACTACTTGATAATGTTTTGCTAAAGGGATTATGGAACTTGATAATGTTGGAAAAGTAACTATACTTGAAAAATTGCGTGTAGTAATTGTATTGATAATTTAATAGTTTACTTTTAAAATTTATCACATACTACTTGATAATGTTTTGCTAAAGGGATTATGGAACTTGATAATGTTGGAAAAGTAACTATACTTGAAAAATTGCGTGTAGTAATTGTATTGGAACTTGATAATGTTGGAAAAGTAACTATACTTGAAAAATTGCGTGTAGTAATTGTATTGATAATTTAATATAGTTTACTTTTAAAATTTATCACATTGGCTTAGGTCAATTTCTTATTGCTTGCAGAAAAAGTATTAGGATAAATGAGACGTTAAAGGAGATAAGATCAACTTTAAGGAAGTGCTTAGATTCCAATAATACATTGGCTTCAAGGGTTCCACCCTTAGATTCGCCTGCCATATACTTTGTGATGTTGCTTTTCAACGAGGAAGGGTGGTCCATGCTTTGAAAGTTGGCCTTGCTTTAACACTAGTTTCTTTGTTGTATCTAATGGAGCCATTGTTCAAAAGGATAGAACAAGACAAGAATAAGATAGATTCTTACTAAATCTGTCATACTTTAACAGCAAAATAGGAAAGTTTCTTACTCAAGGCTAGCACACATAATAGAGCAAGATATAATAGAGAAAATAGCCTAGCACGATCCTTTAATGCTTTGTTCATTTGCTATTGGACAGTACGCTTCACTTCATCAATTGTCATCTAGGAACAGTGATAAAGCTAATGAGAACATCCTTTTACACAAGATTAAACCACAGAACTATCTAATAGGTCTAAATAAATTCCATGTCTTTAGCAAAATAAAATATATTAATTCATATAGAGGCACGAAGTGCCTCGGCCCCGCTAGTTATAATAATAATAATTATTAAGATCCTAAACATAATAATATATGATAATAAATTAATTAATATTAAAATAATATTAAATATCAAATTATTAGAAATAGAAAAAAATATCTTAACATTATAATATATGGGTATAAATATATCCTTGTCTTTTAGATCTTTTAAACTTTTTTATCTTATAAATTATTTTATTAGAAGTTAGAATATTATTATATTAATTTTGTAGTAATACTATTTTTATTTATTTTATATTTGTTTAAATATAAAATTATTTAACATTTATGATATTAGAAATTAGAGTGACAAAATATTGATGTCCCACTCTATCTCATCCTGTTTAGGAATATGAATTAAAAAATTCAACTAACTCCATTTTATAATTAAAAAAGTTATATATAATATTTATTAAATTTGAATAAATAAACTTAATTTTTAGTAATAATTAATTTAAACACAATAAATAAAATATAAAAATTCAAGCATTATTAAAAATGAAAATTTTAAAACTGTTACATGAACAAATATATTATTTTAAAATTGCAGCATAAAAAAATGATTGTTGAAAAATAATTATAAATTTTAAATTTTAGCTTAAAAAGGCATCTTATTTTTCAGAAGAAAAAAAGTTATTTTTTACAAATTTAATATTTTTAACACGTAAAGCTTAAGCAACATGTGTAAAATTTAAATCATATAAAATTTTTCTTTATTATTTTTATCAATAGTGTATAAAACTCATTTAACTTTTACAATAATTACAATTGAAATCAAGATTATTTAAAATAATAATATTAAATATCAAATTATCTGGAATAGAAAAATAATTATCTTAATATAAGAATATATGAGAATAAATATATCTTCTAAATTTTTTAAACTTTTTATCTTATGACATATTTTTTTTATAGAATTTAAAGTATTTTATTTATTTATATTTATTTAAATATATCTAATTATTTAACATTTATGATATTGTTTTATTTTTTTAAGAGATAAGTTTTTTTTCCTGTATTTTGAATAATTTATAAAAATATAAAGTATAAAGTAATGCTAATAATGATTATAAAAACATTCAGATTTTTTTTATAATAATAAAGATTTGTCTTATAATAAGATTTTTCGAAAAAAAAAATGGTGAAAGTAAGTGAGAAAATATTTTTGAAAAAAATAAAGAAATAAGAGATTGAAACGTAAAAAACCAAAATCTTCAGATATTATTTTATCGGAAATTAAAATTTTATGATGTTTTATTCAAATATGAAAAGAAGATAATAATTATGCCAACAAACAAGAACGGAAAAAGTAGACGGCAATAGAAGAGGAGAGGCAAAATAAATATCAATACCTATATTATAAAGGAGATATTGGTATATATAATTATTTTTAATTTTTATTTTTTTAAGTGAATTATTATATCTTGAATGTAAATTTATTTATTTATTTTTATATATTTTTTAATAATTACCTATAAATATTTAATATTTATTTGTTTTTAATTATTAGGGACAAAATTTATATTTATTATAAAAAAGATATCGAGATATATAACTGTTTTATCCCTCCCTCGTTATAAAAAAAAACTTTTTTATATTTTTTTTAAATAATTATCTACAATTTTTTTTAAATATTTATCTGTATATAAAATAATAAAAATTTAAAAGTAAAATCAGAAAATCAGAAAAAAAGAGAGAGTAAATTTAGGCGGGAATTATATATTTTTTCATGAAATGACACGTGTCATTGACCCCCAAAATGGTGGCAACTCAAATTTCCCACCAAAACAATATCCCGCTCTCCCTCCGCGCCGCAACGCACACTCTCAGTCTCATCTCTAAACAAAACTTCTCCAACACAGAACCCTTAAAATCCCCAAACTACCCCTCCCCATCTTCTCCCGCAAGCTTCCCAAAATTTTTCAAATCCCGCGCTCCAATTTTCTTCCCC